TCAGCTCCAATCATTCCAGCCCTGAAGCCCAGCCCATTTCAAAATGACCAGCCCACTCTGTCATAAAAAAAAAAACAATACCAAATTAAGAAAGAAAAAAAATCTAACAATTAAAAGAAAGATTTTTTTAAAGATTTTCTAAAAATCTTATTTTTTCCTACTAATGAACAAAAACTAAAAATACATCTAAAAACCTATTTTTAACTAGAATTTTAATAAAAACTAAAGAATTAAGAGAAAAACATAAAACATCCTAATTCGAAAAATTAAAAACTAAAGAAATCTAAGAAATGATTTTTAACAAAGAAAAATATGTAAATCTAGAGTGTTATCAATATGCTTCAAACAATCAAACGCACAAGGTAAACTTAACATGCGTAACATACACATCCTAATACTAGACTGACTGTCCGGACTGTATGAAATCTGTGTAGCTACACGTTCGTGGACTCGGGTATGTAGTAACTTGATACTCATCAGCTGCAACCCGAGGTTAGTCCTATCCTTCCAATGACCAACCCCTAAGGACTAGGACCTCCTGCCGTTCCCCACAGTATCCTACCCTCCTCTATGTAAGGACGAGTATCACGAAACATCAGGATGAACCGTCAGCTCAGCGTTCCACATTCATACTTTACAACCATTTCAATATTCAACCAAGAGTCATTCCTCCCCGAAACGCTCGTTCAAAATCTACAACCTTTCATTCATCTCATATACTCTTCATCTTTTTATAATTCTTCGTTTTGAAGTCGTTGTTTATCATAATTCTTCTAAAAACATAAATCCGAACGGTCACCCCGTCTTTAGAACGAGGACGAACGATAGGAAAAATACCGAGAATTTCCCGTGCCAGAATAGAATAAGACCGAAAGGGTTACCATTAGTTTTAGGAAATAAATCGAATACCATTATACAATATATGACGAACATTACTTACAATATGAGTCAGTTAATGAACTGACTCTCGTAAACCCAACCAACACTCAAAGAATACATCAAATACGGAGACTCTAGGTCGGAGAAAAAAGAATATAGAATCGTCAAGACGTTAAAAAAATATACTTAGAATAATTCATACACGGAAACCTAATGTCAGCCAATGACCGAACATGGTAGGGGAAAATTCTATTGAAGTGGGACGAACGTTAATGTCATCAAGGGATATCATTCCACAATCGTGTTCAAGCGCTTAGTATAAGACCGAGCGTCACTCATTAAAAGGACTTGGTGTGAGATCGAGCAGTACTAAACTTGAAATAAAAGGTTAATAAATAAGGTACTAGCGGAGTTGTGTGTACGAACGATTACTATATAAAAATACATATATTTACAAGATTTTAAGTTTATTTATGGATACTCATATGCAACTACGCTTGCCGAACGCTCAAGGCACAATATTTTTCACAAGAGAAGACGCTCGTCCTCAACTATGATTCTTCCAATGAAGAATCCAATTTCACAAAATATACTAGAAACACCGAACGGTCAAGGACCGTTCAATGATGAACGTACATTATCATAGTGGGAATTTCATACTCAGATTTTCATTGATCTCCAACTCATTGTTCAATACATTCATTTCATAACCTTATAACTTCACATAAAACATCAATTTACATACTTCAAAAATCCATATCATGTTAATAAATCATACTCCAAGAAATACTAATATTCACATTCATACATTATAACATATCAATCAACATGCATATTATTCATTTCAGCCAAATAACGATCATTCATACAACCAAATCAACAGACAAATTAAATTAAATAAGCTTTCCTTACCTCTAACGTAGTCGGATGTTCATAGATATAGACTAGGGTTCTTCTTCTAACTGAGGCCTTAACGTTCTACAGCGCGTTCTAAATAAACTATAAACCACATAAAACCAAAAGATACAGTATGATAAGATCGACTATGCAAAACCAATATTTGGGTTTTTCATGTTACAGAAAAACCACGAATGGAGGAAAATGAACTTACCCACCCGTTCAATCCTAAACTTATTTGGTTTTTCGGACGATCGTTCTCTATGCCGGAAGAGTGGAACTGGTGCCTGAAGGGTGATCGGAGAAGAGAAAGGGTAAGATTTCTTAGAGAGAAGATTAGGTTTCTAGTGAGAAGGAGTAGAAAAATGAAAGTTCAGAGTTTGGGAAGAAGGGTGCATGCCGAAGAGAGTGGGACAATGTTTTTCAGAAAAATCATTTTTCTTCCTACGTAACTAGCCGCCTCTCTTCTTCTGCTGACACCTGCATCCCCACTATCTGATTTCTGATCCTCGTTGCTTGACACATGGCGTCCGCATAGAGGGTTTTTGAGTATGTTTTAATGATCTGACAGAAGGGTTTTGGGTGCATTTTAATGAGACTTGGCACTAAACATTTAACGAAAAATTAAATCCAGTTGGTTCGTTTAATTCTAAAAAACAATATTATTAAGAAATTAAAATTAAGTCTTAAATAAATTAAAAAATATATCAGTAAAAAGAATTAAAAATATAATTTGTAAAACTTATTTTTTTTTCTTTGTAAATTAAGTTTAAACCATTGATGATAGAAGCACCCATTAAATTTGGAAAAAAATCACTAATAGCTAGCGTGGTTTGCAAACATATGTAACCTCTTAAATTGGAATTAAAAATTATTAAATATTTTTATGTTTGAAGTGTGTGTCTTTTTTAATATATGAAAGTATTTTTATCAACTAAATTTTGATACTTTAAGAAAGTCACGTACACTAGTAAAAAAACTGCTTTTTAACTCGCGTTATATGCTTCGGTTTAGGTGCAACCGAAGTCTATTAAAATGCGGTGGCATTTTTGCAATTTAGCCCTATACGCCTCATTCAAAATCAAACCGAAGCATATAAGTCATATTAACACCTCGGTTAAAGTAAGACCGGAAGCCTAAAAGCCCACCTGCCCCCTGACAGTCTCTGAAATTTTTTTTTTTTTTTTTTTTAAAGAACTATAGGCCTCGTCTGGTGTAGAACCGAGACCTATACGCGTTATGCTTTCTCGGGCGAGCAGAGGAACCGAGAACCTATTCATTTTCCAGATCTCATTTTTAAGACATGCCTCGCTCTCCCTGCTCGCTCCCTCACTCTCCGCTCTCCCTCCCTCTCACTCTTTCTCTCCCTCACTCCTCCCTCCCTCTCACCGTGTCTTCTGCCTCACTCTCCCTCCCTCTCACTCGTTCTCCCTCACTCTCCCTCCCTCTCCCTCGCTCTCCCTCCTCCCTTGCCCTCTCGCTCCGTCAATCTCTCACGCCCTAGCTCTCGCTCCGTCAATCTCTCACGCCCTCGCTCTCGCTCCGCCACTCCCTCGCTCTCACTCCGCCACTCCCTCGCTCTCACTCTCACTTCCTCCACTTTTCCTCTCTCTCTCTCCCCTCCTCTCCCGTCATCTCGTCTCCTCCGCTCCTGCCGCCACGCCTCCCTTTCCCTCTCTCCCTTCGTCATCCCCTTTTCCCTCCTCTCCGTCTTTCCTTCCTCCACCCCTCCCTCCCCCCACCCCACCCCCCATTCGCCACCCAACCGGACGCGATTCTCACTCCACCAGCTGACGCGATCTCAGACTAGTGTTTTTCGTGGACCGCCTGTTGCTGCCGTTCATTTTGTGGAGCCGCTGGCCTAGCACCCGTTCAGCCCCCTTCCCGAGCCCTCAACACCGTGGATGAAGCCATTGTGGGACCGTCCGGCTTCGCTTCGAAGGCTGGGTTCTACCAATTGAAAAGGTGATTTCTTTGTACTGGAAATGGTACTGGAAATGGTGGAGAAGGAAGGAGCTGGGAAATGGGGGCCGATGGCAGCGTCAAATGAGGATTTTCTTTCATTTTTGTTATACTGGTTTTATTCTGTTCTTAGATGTATCCTTACTCTGATTTATGGTTTTTCTGCTCTGTGATGCTGTGATGTATATTATTCTGATTTTTGGGAGTTGGTTTCTGTTTTGGATTATAACTGCTTGAGTTCGAATTCTGCATTGAGTTGAAACATGGCTTCTGTGTTAAAGGATTGAGGAAAGACCAGAAAATGATTCAGGACCGAAAAGGATTGAGACATGGATTCTGAAATTTTTTTTTGTTGAATTTTTTAAGATACTAACTCGGTTCAAAAGATAACCGAGACAAAAATCAATCTCTTTTTGACCTGGTTTAGAACCGAGACATTAAACGGAACTTTTCTACCTCGCCTCTATATGCACCGGTTGTAAAACCGGTGCGTATAAACGAATATAACCGATGCAATTTCTATTCTCTGTACTAGTGGTAAGTTAACAACCTATATATATTATATAAAAAAGTTATATTTCTTTTCACTTTTTTTTTAGTTTTATCCTTCAATAACTATCTCTATTAAATTCATATAATTGTTCATTACGAAAAAATATTTTCTAATTTTGTTTTGCAGTAATTATATATATATATATATATATATATAACACTACTCTCACGAGTGTATATATATATATAATTTATACACCACCACACAAAGAAACACATTATGCCCCTCCTCATGAGAGATTTCAATTATACACACATGGACTTGTCCCAACCACACTTCATCTCTTCTCTTAACTAATTTAAAGACCAACTCCCATTCAGCTGATTGAAGTTTAAGAACATAAGTGAGTTCAATTCAATCTCATTATAGTTTAAGACTTCAGAAGCAGCTATTATCTGAAATCTTTTTCAAAATTAAATTTATCCGACTAAAAGTTTTATCTCTCCCTTTATATTTCCACCCAAAAACACACCTAAATTTGATGAACCCTAAGAGAAATAAGGCCATAATATGTGTGATAAATAAGGGTATGGAACAGAAGCATTAATGTTCCATACCAACACATTGACACCGGCATCTCACAACTTATTGCTGTGTGAGTGTGGATGGCGACAATTTCGATATATATATATATATATATATATATATATATATATATATATATATTTATTGTCTTGAAAAACCGGAAAAAGATGAACAAATGAGAGACATGGTCATGAGCACACTGAGCCTTAGTTGTTAATTTTCCTTTAGAGTACCCACTCTGTCCCCACCACTTTCTAATAATTCATTAAAACCCCTTTCCAACCATTTCCCTCCTTATAAATCATCCCAATCTTTCCTTCTTTCTTCCAATACTTTCAACAACATGGAGATTAAGTCTACCTTAACCAACTGTTTCCTTCTCTTCTTTCTCATCCTTGCTCTCTCTCCTTTCTCAAGAGGTTTTCTTTTTACTGTATCTCTCTATTACTTACATGCATGTTTATATGATAACACTATTTAACTTAGGATGTATTGATTGTGAAGTTATAGGGGAATCTGAAGCATTGCATTTGGAGATATATGAGATTGACTATAGGGGTCCCGAGACACACTCTTCGATTATTCCTCCTCCTCATCACTTTCATATTGGTAAGCCACATTCATCTACTCCTCAAAAGGGCTCACATACAGGAACTAAAGCTTTGAGGGATTACAGTTACCCAGAAAACAAGGCAAGTATTTTATATGCTTCTTGGTAAATGAAAATCATTCATCTTTCTTCCTCCTTGTTGATATTCATTCATTTTCTTTATCGTGTTAGTTGTTCGTATTTGTTAAAAAAATAATAATAATCAAACTCTTAATATCTTTCGGTTCTTCCTTTAAAACTCATCAAATGAATTTTATATAACTCAAATATTAATGAAAAAAAAGTTGAACTCACTGCCTTTGTTTATCTATCTTTTCAAACTTATCGAACTAATGTTATATCTTCGGTTTGAATTCATTCTTCATGATATAGAATTATGAAAACATAGGACGCTTTAATTATTACTAAGTTTAATGTCCAATTCAGCTTTAATTAGATGGCTAGTTATTTCATTCCGTTGCAAATAATTATAGTTTAAAGTCCTGGGTACAGATTAAGAATATCACTGTATTTGAGTGGTTTATATCACCCCTCTACATCGTGAGTCTCTTTTATTTTTGAGTTTGAGGTTTTAACCATTTAAACAACATTTGAAAAAAAAATAAATTGAACACAAATTATAATTTTTAGGACTACATTACACATTTTAAAAATAATAAGACCATTTCAAACAAATTTAACAAAAATTGTGACTATCAATGTTATTAATCCATAAAAATATTATAGAAGGAGTACCACAGTAAGAAAATAATATATTTGAACTTCTAAAACAGTAATTTGAAACAGATTACAATTTATAGAATAAATGATTATTTTGATAGAAAAGCTATAACCACCGTAATTTATGCTATTTTTTTCATTTATATGCTTACAAATTTTTATTTATTTGTTCATTTAAAATTTAAATATATTATTTATCCTTTTAAATTTATTTTCATTTCGCTAGTTTAAACGTTTACAAATTAAGAAAAGCATAAGTTCTAATAAAAGCATATGGTTTTTTCAAGATTAAAAGCATACGAATAAAAATACTTAAACCCACGTGTAATTATGTTTTTAAGTAATTTTTTCTATGCAGTCTAATTTATTTTCTATTTTTCTATACTATTTATTGTTCTTCTGTAGTGCAGGTTAAGAAAGTACATGGGTGATGATGATCACAAAGCTTTACAAATTAAATGGGTCATAACTTTGATTTGTGCTCTCAAACAGAAATATTTTGTTAGAGTCATGAGCGTAAAGTTGAGATATGGTATCATGGTGGTTTGTTTGTTGACGTGTATAATTGGTAATAGAAAGAAAAAACATTTAAATAAATATATCAATTTTTTAAAGTGGTTGGACTGATTGATTGAACTTGTCGGACTGTGAATCATCCACAACAATATTTGGATCACAATCATCTGAAGTTACAATGTTTAAAAACTATAAATTATTTTATTCCATGATTAAGTTTTCAAACATGATTTTTTTTCAACAACAAAAAATTGAATTGAATAAATAAGATGTTTAATCTTTAAAGTTTTAAAACACTGTATTAATCCAAATCTTATAAAATATATTTATTAACTCTTATATAATTTTTCACTATCATTTTACATAAAAAATAAAATAAAATAAAGGGGCATTTTGCAATGACTAATAGAATTTTTTTAAATCGCAAGAACTGAAATACTTAACCCCTACAACTTTAAACATAAGTTAAAACTTTAAAATCAACGCATCACGTGAACAAAACCTTTTTGTAAGGCATGAAGAATTTTATGTATAAATAAATACCTAGCTACAGTCGTTGAATTGGACCAAAAAAATAAATTCTCATATTATAGGTGCATTGATGAATAATTTATGAAGAAGATGTATATGACCATATGGGATTAAATGCAATCAAATGCTGTTTGGGTCTCATCCAGGAAACCAGTGGACTCAGGCCAGCGAAGCTTATCATCTCAATATTAATGCTTGCATTCTATCAACCATTCATTTAAATTAGATTCATGAAATAAAAATAAGAAGCCACCCAAATGAACCTATGTAAAATTTCGTGGAGACAATTATTATATTGTAATTTTCATTTAAAATTAAACAAATATTCTTATATAATGTAAATATTTGAATTTAAATAAATAATTATGACACTTATATCAATATAAATAATTTCGTACTATATTAAACAGGTAGATTGTAAATACATTTTTTATCATTTTTCTTTTACCAATTTTTATAATAAAAACTGTAATTTTTTTTAATAACAACTCCAAAATATTCGTAAAAATAAGTAACAATAAACACGAACGACAAAGAAAAGTAAAGAGCAAACCATGAACCTATATAAAAAGAGAATAAATGATAAATGTTGAAGAGACACATTTTAAGATAGTATTCACTAATAGTTGTGAGATGCTTTAAAAAGAAATGGTTTTGATAAATATATTCTTATTTTCGAAGTGCCTAAATGATACCTTGGTTAATGTTTAAATGATAGTTTACAATTTTTAAAAGATAAAAAATTGTGTATCATGCTCTGTTTAATGTTTAAATGATAGTTAACATTTTTAAAATATAAAAATTATTATAAATTTTTACATTGTGCCGCAGTTGCTCAACTTTAATTAATATTTATGTGTGTTAAAGTAAAATTCAATAATCTATGATTTTGAATAAATATTTAATTCAACAAAGCATAACATGATTATTGCATGCAATCGTCGCAAGAAAGTTGACAAGGGTTAAAAAGGTATTCACCATTGTGCCATCTCCACACGCCCTTGAGGTGTTGGCCGCTTTGTTCGCACTAGACAAGTACCTCTGCTCTTCGCACCAGCCAGCTTAATGTTGCTGCCATCTCCCCATGCTACTGTGGTTTTCGGCATTACGTTGTGTTTCGATTGTAGGGACTCAGTCGTTCAATGCTTTCACGTCCTCCTCTTCTCGTCTCTTGAACGTATGGTTCTCACTCTTTACCTCTCGATTTTCTTCTTTGCGTGCGGGTGGGAGACTTGCGAAAGATTCTCCGATGCCAAAGTCAGTTTGAGAGCAATGACGTTTTTCGATAAAACA